TTTTACATTTGATCCATTATCATTTTTACGTAAATTCTTTGACTGACCTAATTGTATGCTTCTGGCATATAGGTTCATTATCAACTTGATATGTGACTGACTCAATTGAAGAAGTTTCTCACTTTCCACTTCAACTTTTGACGCTAAGAAGCCTTTAGCATCGCTATACAGATTAATAGTCAATAGGAAATTCAGCCGACCAAGAATATATTTATAGATAACTTAAAACGATCCTGAATTTTAAATAATAATTAATAAAGTAATAATTAATATTAACTAGTCAATAAGATTACAAGGTCGATTGACGCGCACAACAGTAATGCATATATAATGCAGGTGTAGATAAAAGATAAGATGGAAGCAATGGTACAGGCGTAATTATGAAGAAGGCCTTGGTTGCCACTTTAACACTCCCCTCCCTCAGGCTAAACATAATATCAATATGGAATAGCAACTAGTTGTACAATATTCCAGCGTTAACAAAGGATAGCCTTCATGATGGTAAATGTAGATTCTTTCATGGATTCAGGGGTTTTTTTCGACCATTAGCTTAGTTTCAATTTGCATATTAATCTCTCCTTAAATAAAACTTGGTCACTGCTTGGTTTTGTTAAATGGTGGTCTAAGGGACTTCACGACCTTTACTTTACAAAATGCTATATACGAGCTCATTGAGAACAATACTTGAATATGCATCTGTTGTATGGTCGCTTTCGCATAGGCGCTACGTAGATTCAATACAATCCGTTCAGAAGCAGTTACTGCTCTTTGTCCTTACGAACTTGGGCTGGGATACGCTTGTCTCCTGGCCTCGTTACGAAGGTAGATTGATTTTGCAACCTTGCCGCCACCTACAAAATGTTAATTCATCCTTGATGTTTCCTTCTTAACTAAGCTAATAAATGGTACTATCGATTCGCCCACATTACTCGGAGAGATAAACCCCAATGTCCCATATCGTTCCTTTAGGAACTTTACTTTCCCAACAACTTGTTCAATATTGATCTAATTACAAGCTTTTCAATCCTTTCAGAGTACTTTCCAAAAATTTAAGCGTTGTTTGTAGCTTAACCTCAATATTGGACTATCATATCAACTCTCCTAAATTTGCGCACTTTCCCTGTGTTGTCTCTCGGTTAACTTCTAAATGCCGAGCTGAGTTTTTGCATGTTTGCAATGCAAACAACGATTTACGTCTCTGTGCTAGATGTGTACTGTGGTAAAAAGACAATAAAGGGTTATTGTGAAAAATGGTTCAAAAAATTACCCCGGTCTGGTCAAATCTTTCATGCCAATTAAAAATGTCTACATACGATTTCACAACGAATTTTGTCGAAAAAGTTTGAAAATTGCAATTTTTCTGTATATAACAATTTTTCAAAATAAGGCTTTATACGGGGAATAATCAAAAAAATGAAGCGATCTAAAGCCATTTTCAGCAGATTTCGTCCTTGGGGAAATCACGTCGGACAGACATCAGTCAAAACAGACGGGAATAAACAAGGTTCGCAAAATCATTCTGAATCGATCGGTATAATGAAAGGTGAACCTATTTTAAGCCCTGCTGTATGTTACATAGGCCCGTACAAACTCATTATATTGTGTACCACAAGTGCTGTAGAATATAAGAAAATTCAAAAAAAGGAATTTCAGACTTGTTTGTTTATGTATTTTGTATGTAGATATATTAAACCTTATATGAATTACAACATAGTCTTACGGGAAGTCGCACTTATTTCCAAAAGAGTTCTAAGAGGATTTGTATTTTTGTATTAAAAACGTAATTCATTAAAAGAAAAAATCTCTAGAGACGCAAACAAAGCGAAGCGATTTCTATCCATGTACTGAACATGAAACGGGTAGTAGGAAAGGTTATCCTGAAGTTTCGGGTATCTCAAAGCAGTTCTTTATAGAGTGCCAAGCCGTTGCAATCGTACAAGAATCGTATTCTTAAGATTTGTAATATATTGACTTCTGTAATATATTGACTTTTTCCCAAATGCGAACGGAATTTGATAGGTTGTATTAAAAACTGAGATTTCGGAGAGAAGAGGGCTTTCTGTCTACGTACTGCACACGAAAAGGGTAGTGGGAAAGGTTATCTTGAAGTTTCGGGTATCTCAAAGCAGTTCTTTATAGAGTGCCATGGCGTTGCAATCGTACAAGAATCGTTTTCTCAAGATTTCGCGGTTTTCGATATATATACTGTTTCTCATATTTGCAAAGCAGTTAAAAAATATGTTTTTGCTAGCAATAGGGGCGAATATGCAAATCGTTCTGAAGGGAGTGCCAACTGTGCTTTTAGTAATGAGGCAGACTACCCTGCATTACATAATATGAAACTTTGAATTCACTCCTAGAAAATTCCAAGAAACACAGCTAAATATAGAATGGTTTGTCTCAATACTCTATTCAACTACCATACGACAAAAACATGGCCGCTTGCTAGTTCTATAAGCTTTTGAAACTTTGAATTGACTTCAAGAAATGTCCAAGAAACAAAGCCAAATTTCGAATGGTTTGTTTCAATAATTTATTCAAGTACAATACGATAAGAATTAACAGGAAATATTCAAAAATATGCGAAAATCGAACGCCAGGTCTCTGAAATTTACAAAAACTAGTCAGGAGACGTTCAAGGGGAGATAATGTAATGATAGATTGACGTTTATTAACTTTACTTTAGCTCTGACTCTCTGACTCTGACTCAACTAAGCTGTGGTCAATGTCTTATATAATACATAAATTGTTGTGTTAGCTTAAGCAAAATTGTAGTTTTAAACTAGGTTATTACTAAATGTACATTTAGTGTGGATTATAACTAAAGTGGGTTATCTTAACTAGGTTATAACTGGGTTATAAATGATTGATAAACGGGTAGAATACGATAAATTGATAATGCTACAGTATATTCCTTTTTTGTTCTGTGTTTATTTATACATGAATTTTGTTCTCCTTATTATTTTACCTTTTCTTTGGTTTTCTTGAAATATTTTTTAATCGTTATTGATAACTTTTAGCGTAAAATTTACTTCTAAGAGCCATTTAACTTCAGATGTTATTTTATGTTAGCTGAATTTCATGTGTAAATAACACAAATAAATAAATAAACAAATAATAGATACAACATTGTTAGTTGAATGCATACAACGTTATATATTAATTTAACACGTTTAATTTCAGCGGTTATTAGTAATATATTCACTAGTTTCACATTTCGGCCACATACATATATTTTAAAGTTTAAGTTTTAAATTACGTATTTCAAGAGAAGATCATTACTCAAAAGCACAATTGTGAAATTCGAAGTTCAGGCAGACTATTAGTCGGCGCGAATGGTGGATTACTACTGGAGGCCTCTGCACCAGTATGCACTGCGTTATCACTTTCATTCATGAACGGAGTGTCCTTAAGCATTGCATGTATGCTTCGTTCCACATGCACTGAATGAGCCATTATTCTATATATTTCATTCTTATTCTTTTAATTATCTTATTTTTTAAATATGATTTAATTATAAGGCTTTGCTGCACTTTCTTCCTTAATCTTGATTTTAAGTACCACTCACTTCAGCTGCACAACATTGCGCAAATGCAAAGATGTGATTCGTTTGCGTACGAGTAACACTATCAGGTCCGTTCTACCCATAAATCACAATAATCTTTTGATATTAGTTTGGGGAAAAAGAAATCCATTATTTTTTCGGTAGATGGCTGCACTGACAGATTTCTCGTAAAGTACCGATCAAACAATTTCAGATTTATGCTCGTTGGAAAGGTGACATTTCGCAGTAAAAAAAATTCTTTTGCTGTTTTTTGTTTGGTGCATTCTGTTGTGAGTTACAGCGTGTTAAAAATGGAAGTGAACAAAGAGAAAATTCGGTACATTTTACAGTTTTTCTTTGACAAAGGCGAAAATGCAAGCCAGGCGGCTAAAATTGTGAATGGTGTTTATGGTTCCGATACTCTAGCAGCCAATTATGTGCAATTTTGGTTTCGTAGATTCCGTTCAGGAATCTTTGACGTTAAAAATGCACCGCGCTTCAAAAAGAAGCTCGATGTTTGGGTGCCACACCAATTAACAGAAAAAAACATGATGGATTGAATTTCCATCTGCGAAGCCTTGGCCAAACGGAATGAGATAGACCCATTTCTTAAACGGATGGCGACTGGAGATGAGAAATGGATCACATACGATAACCCTGTGCGAAAACGATCGTGGTCAAAGAGCGGTGAAGCACCTCAAACGGCCAGGAAGGTTTTGCTATGCA